CAGGGAGGGTCCTGCTCTGCCAGGAGGTCTGTGTCCTCCCTCAAGTCTCCTCCAGCCTTTCTGGTGGTTGTTCAGGGCAGTTCCCGCCGCATTTCTGATTGATTGGGATAAAAACAGGGAATAAAACTCCCCTTGAACGCGAGGGCTCCAGCTGGATGCCCAGAAATTGAGCTTTAACCACCTCACCATCACCTCTAAAGCCCAACAACCACCCCTCTCCTCAGAGTGACGCCGGGAACAGGGCTGATATCACCTGAGAGAGGGTTTAAAAGTGACTAAAAGATCCGTCTGCTCATGGAATCGGCAAAACGGTGTTGAGAAATGCAGCTGCCTTTCCACTTCGTGCGTGGAAATGTTCTCCTGGGGGAGCTGCTGTTTTCAGCTGCTCTTGAGCCTCGTGGAATGGAGGGATGAAGATTAATTCCCCACTGGAAATAAAGGCTCAGGGGTGTTTTTCACTTAATGAACCGTCATATTATTTGTTAATGTCTCGTGTTAATTGAAATTCGAGCAAATCAGGGGGATCACAGGAGGCAAATTGCAAATCCCAGCACCTGGATTTAAGTCCTAAAGAAGGGGGGAAGGGGTGTGTGTTGGGTGTTGAACTGCAGACCATGTGCACAGCTTGAGGTCCCAGCAGGAAGTTTTTTTTGGGAGGTGGTGGGTCTGTCAGCAAGGGATGAAGGTTGGGGAAGTCCTTGCTCAGCAGCCTGGCTGGTTTTTAACAGTCCAGAGGGCTGTGCTAACCCACTGGGATGCAGAAAATGAGAAGGAACTGATGAGGAATGTGGAGGTTTGGGTGGCTGGAGGGTGGAGAGGTTTGGAAAAGAGGAGTTGGATGGGAGGATGGAGGGGTCGTGGGAGAGGGAAAATGGAGGAGGGCATGAATGGTTTTTACCCCAGATTAGCAGAGCTTAAAGCCATGTGTAGAGTGGAAAAAAAAAAAAAAAAGAGAGTGACCCTGATTTTAACGAGCTGGATGTTTCAATATTAAATGTGACAAGCTGTGAGGAACACAGGAGCAGTGCCAGCTGAGTTTAACAACTTGTGTGGAGTGTCTTGGGAGCAGGGAAGCCTTTGGGTGGCAGTTCAGCATCTATTTGTTGTGTGGTGTGTTCCTTGTCTTCCCTTGTGGACTCCCAAGTCATGAATATCTGTCAGAAATCACTAGAGCAGAGTCCCTGCACTTCCTTTCCTTGTCAGCCCAGGGAGGGAGAGGCAAAGAGGGAGAGATGAAGCTCATGGAGCAGGGTTAGGAGGAGGAGAGGAAAGCTTTGGTAGGGGTGAACTGAGAAACAGGAGGTTTTGGGGTGAAAAGGGTGTTTTCAAGCTGATTCCTGGTGCTCTGTCACCCTCAGTGGGATCAGAGGTGGCATCTTTACAGCCCAGGGATGACTGGAGGTTGTAGGAAGTCCTCAGCTGCCTTCCTCCAATCCATCATCTTCAGGTTTCTCCCCAAGATCAGGGTGCCCCAAGGTGTGATCAGGACAGGAACAGCAAAACCTCTTCCCTTACAGGTCAGCAAAGCTCTGCTGACTTGACACCCAGGGCAAGGCCTGAGCAGCAAGGGCTGAACTCTTCCCTGGGCTCTGTCCTCAGGACTTGTGTTGTTCAGGAGAGCTGGGATCTGGCTGGCAAGGGCTGATGTGAGTGCTGAATTCATCCCTCCCTCCAGACACTCAGGGTAGCTGTGCCTTTGAGGAGCAGTAATCATCTCAAACACAGCCTTGAATTGCCCTGTGGATACATTTTCCATTGCCACCAGCAAACCAATCCAGCTCAGATTTTTCTGCTTAGATTTTTAAGACTCTGGTTCTCTACATCAGGCTGTTGGGAAGGAATTCCTGCCAGCTGCCTGCCTGGAACCCTGCTAGGGGACAGAGTGTTAGAACTTATCAACCCTTCGTTTGTGTCCTTGAAAGTTAAATAGAAAGAGGGAAACCTGGTGGTTCCTACAGCCTCCAAACTCCTGCAGCCCTTTGAAACCAGGGGGGTGGGTTGCTGAGTGTCAACCCCTGTGTTTCTTTTGTTCAGGAACAACTCCCCCTCCTGCCACCCCCCTTGGGTGTCACCCAAGGTGGCAGTTAAATGAAAGCAGGGTCATTTGAGATCAAAGTTGCTGTTGCAAACAGCAGTAACAATGAAGGGAAGGAGGGGCTTTGTTTCCTTCCAAAAGGCTGGAAAAGCTCCTTTACCTTCCACTCTTTTGAAAGTGGATTTCCAGTGCTTTATAGCAGCTCTTTCAAGCTGCAGGAGGAAATTCCAGCTGCTTGTGCTCTTACACTGTTCATTTTGTCAAGCCTTTGTCAAACCTCTTCTTTTCCCCCCCCCCTCTATTTCTTGTAGATTATAGTACCTATAGCCAAGCTGCAGCTCAGCAGGGGTAAGTAGCTTGATGGTCTTATCCTCTGTGTTTTAAAAAGATGTAATATAAGTAATAATTAAGTTTACTCTTGGACATCATATCATAGAGTCACAGACTGGTTTGGGTGGGAAGGGACCTTCAGGATCATCTAGATCCAACCCCCTGCATGGGCAGGGACACCTCCCACCAGCCCAGGTTGCTCCAAGCCCCATCCAACCTGCCCTTCAACACCCCCAGGGATGGGGCAGCCACAGCTTCCCTGGACAACCTGCTCCAGTGTCTCAGCACCCTCATGGCAAAGAATTTCCTCCTAATATCCAACCTAAATCTCCCCTCTTCCTGTTCTAATCCATGTATTTGTCAACCCTACCCTTTCAGAATTTGTATTGACAGAGTATTTCAGCAGAAAACATGTGGATAGGTGAACATTCTCTTGCAATGCAGGTTTTGAACAGGTCAGGAATGGGAGGATTAATTAGAAATGTCTTGAAATTCATTGTAAAATGTCTTCAAATTCTGTTTTGCAGCTACAGTGCCTACGCCCCTCAGCCAGCTCAAGGATATGCACAGACCACCCAGGTAAAACACAGGATGGTTTTATCACTGTGTCCTCCAGGAAACTGTCCTTAAAAGTTGTCTTGTTGCTTTCCTCCCAGCCCAGGGTGCTTTGTGACAGGGGAAGCCACCAAAATGTCACAGTCCCCTTCTCTGTTCAAACATCCCAACCTAAGGGGGTTGTTGGGACCATCAACCCAACTCTTGGGTGTCTGTTGGACACCACCATGGGGGTGGGTGTTTCACTCAGCTGTATTGGGGAGAAAAACCTTTAAAAAGGGGGAGGAAGGATTGGCTTTTTCCATGGAGGGATTGTTGCTAAAACTGTCTTGGTTGGCCAGATTGCAAAATGATTTCTTTTCAAGGTGAATTAAACCATGTTTATTTTTTAATCCTTACAATCCAAATTAATGCAGAACACCTTTGTATACACCAAGTATGTTTTCAAAGGTAAAATTCTGTCCTCAACAAGTGGGTCAATTTCCTCCTGCCTCTCCAGAGAGGTTTTGGAAAGGAAAACCTTGCTGCTCAAGGCTACATAAACCCCACCACATCCTCCTGTTGGAGCTTTACTGAGCAGCTTCAGGTGGGTTAATTCTGCTGGGGGCAACAGCTCTGCCTCAGTGCTGCCTGCACCAGCTGGCCCCAGGCAGGCCAGGAAGCCTTTTGTTACAATATCAGTGTTATGGGCACTTGGATCAGCTTCAGTTATGGTATATTTTATTTTTAAGTAGTATTTGGAGACAGAACAACTGCCAGAGCTGGTACCAGGTGTGCAGGTTACGTGTAGGACAAGGGAGCTGAGGGAGATGAGCTCAGCAGGTACATGGGCTTAGATCCCAAGAGGTGTTTAAGTTCCAGATTGCCAGAGGAGTCATAGAATCCCAGAATCCCAGACTGGTTGGAAGAGATCATGTCTAACATCAATCTCCCCTCTTCCAGTTTCAAGCCATTCCCCCTCATCCCATCCCTCCCTGCCCTTGTCCCAAGCCCCTCCCCAGCTTTCCTGGAGCCCCTTCAGACACTGGAAGCTGCTCTAAGGTCTCCCTGGAGCCTTCTCCTCTCCAGGCTGAACA